GATTTATCAGTTTAAGCTAGTTATTCAGCTGCATTATATTATGAAGATTTGGCAATCACATAAATCAAACTATTTTCCAGCTTATTTGTTCTGATGAAAATTTAATTATCTCCGATTTAGTAAAAGTTTGACATGAAATATACTTACCATGACCTGTACCTTTCCTGTTCAAGGCAGAGTGCAGGGCCTGGGTGGAACACAGAAATATTCTGCAAAGAAATATCTCATACTCAAGTACCTGCTTTCTTCCCTCATTCTCAAGAGCTTAGATTATTACAAGCAGGATTTTAAGACATATTTTTATAATATTCTGACATTTATATGATTCTATAAAAATTATTCTTGACCATGATTGCACGTAAGATATTTCATAAAAATTTTAATCCTATATTTAATTATCATATGCCATTTAGTGTTCAAAGCATTTTTCCTATTCAATATTAACTCACAAAGATGCTAGGAGGTTAGTGTGTGGTCAATAACATTATTAAATTGTTACCAATATTGAGTGCTTACCAAATCTTGGGGTCAATTTTAGGCTCTTTTTCTTTTTAGATGAAATTAATCTTAATGATCTGTTTTTTAAGGTTATTTATTTATTTATTTATTTATTTATTTTTAGAGATAGGGGAGGGGAGGGAGAAAAAGAAGGAGAGAAACATCGTGTGTGGTTGCCTCTCATGTGCCCCCACTGAGGACCTGGCTTGCAACTTAGGCATGTGCTCTGACTGGGAATTGAACCAGGGGACCCTTTGGTTCACAATCCACCCTCAATCTACTGAGCTACACCAGCCAGGGCTAATTTTAGGCTCTTAATACCTCTATAATTAGTAATAGCTAAAACTTATTGACCTGCTTTATGCCAAACTCTGTGCTGTGTTCTACAAGCATTAATTTATTTAAAACCTGCATTCACGGAAAAAGATGAGTACTAATGTTATCACCATTATATGCATGACAAAACTGATGCTGAAAGATTTTTTGAAAGAGACAATAGTTAGTAACAGCATGATTGGAATACATCTGTTTATGTCCAAGATGCTGATCTTCAGTGTCAGATATAACGCCTCTGCTTACTGCCCAACAGCTGAGGCTTCCATGTCGGACTGCTTCTCTGGTCAGTTTTTTGGAATTCTCCTAGCAGAGATGAACAGGGACCATTCTTTCACCAAATTAGATTAGCTTTCCTCTCTCCTCATCCCTGATTTTGTAGTCTGCTTACGTGTAAAATGGGTGTAATAACGCTTATCTTACAGGATGGCTTTATGAATTAAATAAGATGTGTGTGTAAAGTACTTAACCATGTGTGGCATCTAGCAGACTTATGCTCATGAAGGACTAGAGCAATTCTAATGAGAGTTGGGCCCTGTGAGACCCATGTCACAAAGCTGCACAGAATAAGCCCAGGAGAGCAACAAAATAATTACAAAGAAAGTCTGATCTCCCTTATATTTCTCCAAGAATATGAAAGGTCACTCATTTGTAACCCCACCTAGTACTCAGCAAGTACACTCTCTGTTCTCCAAGTACCACTTGTACTGCTTGGAGCATCTCATTTTCCAAACCTGAAATCTCTCCTTGACCCCAGCTGTGTGGTAGCTCACTAATTTTTTTCTTGCCCTATTCTCTATTCTCTGTATGTTCCTCTAATACTGCCTCAAAAAAAAAAGTGTGAGCCCTGGGCAGGCTGATGCAAATCTGGGGAAAGAGGAAAGAATGTGGACATGGGGAGGAGAAAACAAGAAAGCCTCTACCCACTCCTTCAAATGTGTCCTCCCTCCTGCGCTGGTGTTCTCCCTTTCCCACTCCTCCAAACACACTGTATTTATGTCCTTTCTGACAGTGCTTTTTCCTGCTCTCAGCAGGGACTAAAGAAAATAATCCCCAGCACTCACTCAGCCTTCACTGCCCTCCCTTTGATGCTATCTTTTGATGATATTACCTACTCCAAAACTCCATGTGGAAGACTCCAAAATCTAGCTTTCTGACTACAGTCTCTTTCACAAGTCCTCTTTCTGCTTTTGCTACTGTATACATTTGTCTTTACTCAGATGAATGGAATGCATCGTCAATATATCCAGCCTTAAGGCCCAAAACTAAAGCAGTCATCTCTTCTCCCAGAGGGACTTTCTCTCTGCAATTGGTTTTGCCTACTTCTGTTAAAATCTTGTTCTTTCTCTTTCTTTCTTTTTCTTTCATTTCTCTTTTGTTTCAAGTTATGAATATAGATAATTTATTAATTTTTTGAGAACCACAAGATGTTTTTTATTTTTTAGTTTTTTAATTGAATATATTGGAGGTTCTATATATATCTATATTAGAGATAAAGATACCTTTATCTTATATCTTTGACCCTTCTTATTCTCTTAATCCGAAACTCAATATGTTGCCAAATACAATCAACTCTACTACTACTACATTTCTTTTCTCTTACAAAAAAATCTTTTTTTTTTTTACCTGAGTTGAACTTTTGTCTACAGAAAGTGTTTAACAACAAGTGGTCCACGGCCCAGTGCTGGTCCTCAGTAGGAGTGATCAGCGTCTGGTGATTGGTCAGGACTGGTCAGATCTGTTGGGTGAAGTCAAACAATGGCAGGCAACCACTGATGATTTTGCAGCATCTAGTTTTCAACCAAGTACAGTCATCTGCTTGGCAAACTCTTTGAGTTTTTCCTAGAACTGTAACGAAGTAATGTTTTCCTATGAGTGATAATCCAATGCTATTGGTAATGGCACATTCAAATAGTACTCTTCAGAGAAAAACCAGGAATATACCGTAATCTGTATTGAACACTTGATATATGCCCAACTCTATTCTAGGTACTAGAAATTTAGTGGTGGATAAAGCTCCACTCTCATAGAGCTCACATTCTTATGGGGGGTAAGGAAAGACCAGCCACATGAAGATTAATTTCACATAGTGACAAATACTCTGATGAGAACAGAAGAGGTTAATGTTTTCAGGATATTTGTTCAACAATCATGCACCAAAAGAGCCATAGTTGTGGTTCATAACCTGTATCCCTTCTGACTGGTGCTCATGCTTGTAGATCATCAAATATTTTTTGATGTCCCTCTGCATGTGATAGTAAAGTGGGAGTGTAGTAGTGTGTAGTGAGAACTTAGGATAAATCATGTGAGCAGAGACATTTAACTATGGTCCAGAGTATGAAAAGAAAGCAGCCATGGGAGACAGAGGGAAGCATCCTCTATTCTTGTGGAGACAGAGGTATGAACAAGCTCCTGCAGAGTCACTGAGGCAACCAAAACCTGGGCCTTTCCATGCAAGAGCAAAAAGAGCTGTAGGACTGGAACATATTGTGCAAAGAAGACAGGGAAAGGAGACAGAATCAGGTAGCTGTCAGCAGCATGCATTGTGGAAGAGCAGATATCTGCGTTTCTGGTCAGTGCTTTGAGTAATGGATGGAAAGAAGTCTCAGTGTGGGAAATAATCTTTTTAACTGAAGTGGATAAAGGTGTTTGATATCATTGACAAATTTTGATCAATGTATTTGTCATAAGTAAGGTTTTGATATATAAATTAAAAAGTATTCATTTAAATGTCAAATACTGTTTTTCTTCAGCCAATAATGGGCAACATGCCCAATCTGGACTTCATGTTCAAGTAAATAGAAAGCATTGTGAATGTGAGTAATCACAGCCATTGAGCATCTCACTGTTCAGGTTGCTATTCGAATACCCAGGCTGGAAGTGAAAATCATACTCCATTTTCCCCTCTGGAGTATGCTAGTTGTCAAGGGGAAAGTTGCTCCTGGGAGAAATGAGAAATAAGATTTCTTTAAAGAGCCCAGCACCATTAAAAGATTAAGGTCTATTTCTCTGATTTCAGGGGTTTTTGCTTTGTGACATAACCAAAAAATACACTTGCTAACTTGAAAAGTCTGAATTTATTACTTTAGTGAAACTGTGATATTAGTATTGGTGATAAGACAACAGGATTTCATAAAAAGTCTAAATTGGTTCAGACAGCTTAAATGCCAAGAATGTGATTTTTCCCCCAGCCCTTGAATTTTTTCCTCACTTGTCAGACTTAAAAAAATATGAATGCCATACTATGATACATTTTTCAAAAATAAAATTTCATGCTGTAATAGAACAAAGAAACCTTTTCCATAAATAAAAATGAAAAAGAGCATTGGAAAAAGTTTTCAGTCTGTGCCTCCCTGCCCACTCAAATTCTTTGGAATGAATGAGTCTTGTGGTAATCAGTCCAGCATCTTTTAGTGCTAGGGTCATGGCATTCAATACGAAATCTCCCAATAGTTCAAATGTAATTTTATGTTTGTTTGAAATAATCCAGAACTATAAAGCAGAGTTATAAAACATTCAGACTAATTTTAGGGGATGTATTTATTAACTAAGGATTTATGATTTGGTAGAAATAAAGGCTAAATGAAGTAAACAGCTAGATAAGAGACCTAGTTCATGATATAACATATTTATTATTATTTATTTATTATTTATTATTAGGCCATATTTATTATTAGGCCAGATATAAATAAATTGGTTAAATTTCAAATAGTATAATCCATCTCAGTGCTACAACATATTCTTAATATTGTTAATTTAAAGTCTGGTTATACACTTTATCATTTAAAAGACTGCACCATTTCTCCATATGTCTCAGTGGGTATCCCACAAATTCAGCGGAGACACAGTAAGTGGTCCACAAACAAGAAACTCTGCTCTAGAAAAGAAGGGGTCTGGGCTGCAGATGAGACTCTCCTGAGTGTGCAGAGAAGATTGATTTAGGGTTTAGGAATAATAGTTAATTGGAAAAGAGCTCATTATCCTAAAAATAATGAATTCAAAAGTCCATTAATTTTACGTCTTTTCTGTAATTAGATTTAGATATATAGTAATGCAATTATTATTGCATTAAATAGATGGTTTGGATCTTACCATTGGCAACTGAATAAATGTTTTGAAAGTGATCTTTATGTCTTGTTAGATGAATTTAATTGAGTTTTCATGTGTAGGTGAACAGGATGATGCTGCCACAGAAAAGCATTGGTTTCTGCCCATGGACATTGTAAAAGGTAAGTTTGTATACTTCTAGAAGGAAAAAAAAATCAGACAGCTAAAGAAAGAGTTATCAGCACTACAGTGAAATAGTCAGCCCAACTTAGAACATGGGGCATTCTACAATGAATATGATCTGGTGTCTATAAAATATCCAGGACGTTAAAAAAGAACATGAGTGGGCTGCTGAGGATCATAAGATCATGGAGGACTCAAGAGGCCTTATGATCAAATGCAATGTGTGGACCTTATTTACATCCTGACTCATAGCAAACAACCATGTAAGTTATTGTTGAAATAACCAAGAACAATTTAACATATATTGATGATATTAAAGAATTAGTGGGACTTTTGGTATGATAATGGTATCATGCTGGTGATGTTAAAAATATTGTTTAACCTTGACCTGTGTGGCTCAGTGGGTTGGGTGTTGTCCCACACAGCAAAGGGTCACAGATTTGATTCCTGTTCAGGGCACATGTCTGGGTTGCAGGTACAGTTCCCAGTCAGGGTGCATATGAGAGGCAACCAATGGTACTTCTCACATCAATATTTCTCTGCCTCTCTTTCCCTCTCCCTTATCCCCTCTCTAAAAAATAAATAAATAAAATCAAAATGTTTGTTATTTGTTAAAACTGTATGTGCAAAATATCAGTAAATATTGAAGCTGGGTAAGTGGTAGATACAATTTCATCATACTGTTCTGCTTTTGTATACATTTTGCATTTTCCATAGTAATTGTTGATTCCTCCCCATTTATTAAAATGACCATTTGACAGACCACTTGTGTATATTCTTTTTGTTTGCAGAAGCAGGTTTCTCAGGGACCTTAGCAAACAACATATTGTTAGATAATTTGATGGCATAATAGCCTTACTTCAGAAACAAAATGAAAGTCAATAGTTAAATGGAAGAGTTATGAGTATCTTAGTCCCTTTTTACTCAGTTAATTACCCAATGTGAATTTTCCTTTTAATTTTTTAAATATTAAAAAATTTAAAATATGCAGAAAAGCGCATAGAAATAAATACACAATTAAATAAATAATTAAAAAGTAACTACTGTGAGACCTTCACTCATATTAAGAAGTAAGCTCTTGTAAGAACAACAGAAATTCACTTTGTTTATGTTCTTGGCCATAATTCTTGCCCTGTACCTTGAGAAAATGCTTGATTCTGACTTAGTTTTGCCCTTTTTTGAATTCTATATAAATGGAATGATATGATATATATTACTTTCTTTGCTTCTTTTGTACATTATGCTTATGAGATTTGCTCATGGTTATGCTATTTACTATAATTCATGTTTCATAGCTATTGAGTGTAATGATGCAGCTGAAGGCATTCTTGTACATGTATCTTTGGGTACATGGACACAATTTGAATGAATGAATGCTGTAAGATGTAGTTCCCTCACATATATGGGGAATATGTTCTAAACCGCAAGTAGGATACTGGATAGTATTGAACTCTATACATACTATGTGTTTTTCATTACATACATAGCTGTGATAAAATTTAATTTATAAATTAGGCACACTAAGAGATTAACAACAATAGCTAAAAAAAATAGAATAATTATTCTATTCTATTTTTCTATCTAATGTGCTATAATAAAATGTATGTGGTCTCTCTCTTTCACAATATCCTAGTGTGCTGTACTTCCCTTTTCATTTAAAGGAAACGCTTTGCGGCTTCCCTTTGACATACCTGAATTGCCAGCGTCATCTCTCTTATGCCTTGGGGCTATCATTAAGTATAGTAAGGGTGACTTAAACACAAACGTGTGACCGTCCACCTGATAACCAACACAGATGCTAAGTAACTAACGGCCCGGGAGTGTATGCAGCATGGCTATGCTGAACATTGGCATGATACCCGTCCCAAGCAGTGGGAAGGTGCAAGATTTCACCACACTACTCATGACGCTGCACATTTTAGAAACTATGAGTTGTTTATTTCTGGAATTTTGACTTTAATATTTTTTGGAACCATGATTCTGGGCAATGGAAATGATGGGATGTGAAACAGCAGGTAAGGGGGGCGACTCTGCTCAGGAGGAGGGCTAAGCCATCAGATGTGCTGTCCTTTAACACAGTGCTTGAATGACCGCAGTTGTCTCTTACCTACTTCTCCAACACACGCACTGAAGTGCTGTTTTTGCCTCACTTGTTTTGATGCATAGTATTCTCATTATTGTTGAGTTTAAAGTGTGTTTAATTTTTGTTACTTTTCCCCCTGATTTAGAAGAGCATTTCTTTAAAAGGTTTGAAATTGAAATACAGAAAATTGCACAAATTATGGGCAAAAATGAAGAGTTTCTTATATATACCACTCGGAAAGCCCCCTCATGCCTCCTTCCAAGGCCAAGGTGAAGATGGGCAGGAGAGCGCCTGTGGATTAAATTGAAAAAGGGCCTCACTCTCAGGGTTGGGCGAGTAGAGAATTGGCACTTCCATGTGTCTGAGAGTGAGTGCCTCCTAAAGTTTTACCTCCCAGCTGTCTCACTTGCCTCCCCAGCTTGGGCTGCTGGCAGTCATAGAAGACACGGCAATGGAAGACCATGGCCCTATTCCTGTAACACTTCATTTACTAACACAAGCAGCGAGCCGACTTTGCTTTGGGTTACAGCTGCCTGACTTCTCATCTGGATTCTTCCTTCTCTCTGCACACCACTCACTAATTATGCCTTTAGCTTCTTCTAATCTGTCGTTAAAACCATTTATTTTGTTTTCATTTCCAGAATATCTACTTGCATCTTTTTTCAAATCGGTGACATCAATATTTACAATGTCCTATTTCCTAAGGGTATTTTAAGCTTGACTTTTTAAAAAAGCCATAGATGTTTAATTAAGCATAGTAGTTTTATGATCTGTGACGGATAATTCCAGTATCTGATGTCTTGCTGCACTGGTTTTGATATTTGCTCATGATGTTTCCTCGAGTGCTTATTTATTTTTTAATCATATGCTCTTCATTATTCTTGCAAATTATTTTTTTGTGGAAATAATTTGTGGCCTTGGGTAATGACATGTTCATCTAGAGTGGTGGTTTTCGAATTGTGGTCCTTGAAGCCCCTATATCAATATCACCAGAGAATTTGTGAGAAATGGGAGTTCTTGGGCCTCATGCCAGACCTAATGAATCAGGAAGTGTGGGGCTGTGTTTTGACTTAAGTGGCACACTTACCTTGAGGGTGTGTCTATCATAGCCTCAGTTTAATATGAGGAGAGTATCCTAATAGACACTCTACCTTGAACAGACCCTGAACTTCAGATTTCTGTCCCTCTCATTCCACATGCACCCTCTAACTGAAATTCAAAGTTTTTAAGTGGCTCAAGCTTCAGACGTACAGAGCTTCAGTGCCCCTCTGTTCTCTGTGTTCAGACTTGCCCTTTAGATTGAGCTAGTATTTCCCTAGCATCTTCTTAGCTCCTTGATGCTTTTCCAGTGTTTTTATATTTTATTCAGCATACTCAGTGTGTTTCTAGGCAGGGAGTTAATCCTTAATTTCTTAACCCACAGTTATAGGAAATGACTTCATGCAGGTATCTCTAGGATTAGTTTGTTTTTATCTAAACACAAGAGGAAAAAATGTACAGACAATTTACCTTAGTAAAGACATGACACTGATATGAAATGTTATCAAAATGCTTGTGTTTTGCTATTTACGCTTGAAATATATGCAGATTTACTCTCCAGTAAAGCCTGTTTGACCTTGTTAAAACTGCTGTCTTTGGATGCTGGAAGTTCTTTTGCTTTATTCATACATCACAAGTCTTTGGGGGTGATGTAGCAATCACCTAAGACTTAAATTTAATATTGGACAGTTTTCATTCATTATGAAAAATATTTATATCGGCAGAAAGTTGAGGGTTCTATCATTCTGAGGGGGAATGTTGCTGTAAGGAAGTGAATTTATTGACTGCTCGATGAAAATGACATATTATTTATGCAAAATGCTTCCATCAGGCAACATCTGCTTTTTTTTTTTTTTTTTGGCCGTACAGGACACGTTCACACAAGTGTAGACAGAGAGGTAAGTGAAGTCAGCGTAAGATCCCAAGTCTCTCTACCAGGACCGTTTTAGAGATAATGTGAGAGTATCGTCTTTGCATGAACAGATACTGGGACTTCATAAAGCTCTGATCAGACCTGGTGGTGTGTGAACTAGTTAATGAAGGGCCCACAGGTTCCTGTGACAGGAGACCAAATGTAATTCTCTGGGGAAATCTAGATGAAAATGAAATCTCTCCATGTTGCTTTTTAATTATTATTTTTAATCACCATTAATGCTGTTATTGTATCTTTCCTATTACCATTTAGTCCCCTTATACCACCCCTGCCACAATCACTGCACTTTTGTCCATGTTGAGTCCTTTTTCCTTTTTCTCTGTCCCTCCACCCCCTTCACCTCCTCCCACCCTTAGCTGTTATCCTGCTCTCTGTCTCCGTGTGCTTTTAAAGGACTGTTCTGTTCTTTGAAGATACTGTGTTTCAACAACTAAAAGCCACAGGAGCTCAGAAAATTCATGAGCAATAGAGACAGGATGTGGAGATTATATTACAAGAAGAAAGGATATTAGCTCAGAAAATTGACCAAGATACTGTGATTAGTGGTGAGATTTCTGTGTCTTCTTTTAACCCAAATCACAGCCTGCATCTTCAGATATTTTCTGCTAAGGCAGGAAATGTAAGTGCGGTCTGGAGGCTGGACTTGTATGCAGCATGGTGGTGATAATCTCTGTAAAGATTATGAATCGGTGAGTAAGCTTGTTTACTAGCTCAGGCAATGTGATTTTTCAGATGTATCCAGTTTGTTTCTTCCGTGTTTTCTTAATTCTACAGCTTAAATTTGGATATCTTGTGATGAGTTGTATTAAGGAAAATCAAAAGCCTAAAATTCCTATAAGGACCTACTGCTTTAAGGAGTAATTTATCTGAGGAAAAAAAAAGTGGCCCTTTTAAAAACAAGTCTCCCCACCTTCAAGGTCACTGAAAAATTCTCTATTTTGGAC